TAACAAATGGATTCTAAATGTATCCCACTTTTTAATGTGTGTCTCTTGACATATATGCATCTTAGTTTACATGAGAATATGAATAATTTTAACCTTAACTGGATTAAGTTTGATCTCTATGTCTCTCCATAACATTAACTAGGACACTTTTTCTTCTTCTTTCTTTTCCTTTCATTGCATCAGTTTTTTTTGCACTCTCAGTCCATGGCTGATTTAAATGCAATAACAAATCTGGTTTTCATAAGTTTGATTTTTGTGATTTATACAAGTTCCACTAATAAAGACAATATTTGACAAAATAATAAAGAACTTAAAGTCAAACGAAGTGTTGCAGTGGAACAGACGATATGCAGCATGGTGGACTGGGTGCCATAGAACTCCATACAGCAGAGCAAGGATAATCTGATGTTTGCAAAACAAACTCGCAACCCACCATGGTTTTAAATGACACATTCAAAGTAACCTTCTGCTGTTTGCTGAGGCCATGTAGCTTAATGCTTCAACCGGTTTGATTAACTGCTAGTTTCACATGGTTTTTAATTGGCGCTGGAGCTGTTGTCACCCGATTCGATAAGCCAGTAGCATCGTGTAGCTGTGATTTGCTGTGTGGGGATGCTGTGGTACATCTTTTTTTGTTTTTTAATGCTGACATATGCTACAGTAAGTGTCGTCCTTGAACACATCCGGAGTCAGACGGAGGTCCTTGAAAGCAACAAAAGTGCCCGGACTGAAGGTTTAGTTCCTGTGTGTGTTTCCTGCCTGATCTGGTTTTCCTGTTGGAGATTAAAAACAAACAAACAACAAACTTCTGAGTTTGGTTTTATTGGAGTCAGCAGCAGGGGCCAGAGTTGGTGTGTATAGGTTTTTTTATTTTACTTAAATGCTTTAATGTAAAGTTCAGTCTGAGTTCAAGTGTTGCTGGTCTTCCTACAAAATAAAAGCCCTGTGCAGCCAAGGCTTGTTTCCTGCACCGTCGACACAGGAAGCTGGAAGCACAAAATGCTGTTTCCTCTTTTTATTTTACTCACAGCAGAAACAAACGGTTGAACTTTGGCTGTTTTATCTGAAACTGACTTCATGTTCAAAGGTTCTTTATTTAGATGTTAACAGTCATGAGGTCAATAACATTTGTCTGATATTCAGTTTGGTTTTTATTTGTTTATTTTCTGTTCCTGGTTGGATTCATGTCTGTATTTTCTGATCCAATCAGGGCTTTAGGGTTTTAGGAAAATAGAAAAAGAAGTTCTGAATGATTCTGCCTCTCGACTAGCTCTGCTTCTCTGTGTTTGACGTCTGAGGTCAGAACAGGATGTGATGAGGTCAGGTGGAAGCAGTGATGTCACAGCAGACAGGAAGAGGTCAAGGTTGGACAGGAAACTGTGAGGCTTTGCTGACGCTGCAGCGACACCTGCAGCTCAGAGGGCCATGGAAACCCTGTAAACTAACTGTATGTTTGTTTGTTCTTGGAGGCGTGGGATGAAGTAACAGGTCTGACTAACAGATTTAGAAATTTCCTCAGATTTTGTAGAACCAACCCTAACCCTAAAAATGATGTGACTTCAGGTTCATCACCTAAAACCAAAACACCAAGTATATGATGGAAGTTCTATTTTACCCCAAAATCCCAGATTTTGACCCCAAATTATTGTATTTATTCGTCAAAGATTCTGAAAAAAAAAAGTTACCTTTAAGCATATTACATGGTTTTGCTATAGTTAATTAGATAAACCAGTTGCAGCTAAATGAGAGGAAACCCCAACCGGAGAGACATAAAAATATATGTATTTATATACATACATATGTTATGTCAAATGCAAGGAAATTTCAAAATAACTAAGTTAAAACTGTTTTTTATAAATACTTCTTTTATGTGTGTTCGCAACTATAATATTATATTTATTCTTGATTCTTTTAGTATTGTTTTTACTGTGTTCTTACCTTTGAATACCTTGATACTTGACCAAAATAGCCAATAACTTCTGGGTTTTTATTGTTTTTTTCCACGACTCCGGAGAAAAAAGTAGATACATAACTAACTTTCTAATTTATTTATATTTATTTTATTGTATTGGAAGTGTTTTTATTGTCGAAATGTTAGATTTCGCAGCATGACGTGCCCTGAGTGGTGCATCCATAATTTACTCGAAACGAAGTCATTTAGAATGTTTTTAGAGCATAAACAGTAGTGTATAGGATTTCCTGAAAACGCGCACCTGCGCGCTCACGACGCTACGGAAGCCGGCAGACCAAACCAG